TTATACTTGTTCATTTATTTATTGAGGAAAATGATCCAAACCTACATATTTGTGTGTGGCAAAAGTATGTGAACCTTTGCTTTCAGTAACTGAGCAGCAATAACTGCAACTAAATGTTTCTGATAATTATTGATCAGTCCTACACATCTTGAAGGAATTTTAGCCCATTCCTCCTTACAGAACAGCTTCAGCTCAGGGATGTTGGTGGGCTTCCTCACATGAACAGCCCACTTCAGGTCCTTCCACAACATTTCTGTATGATTAAGTGAGGACTTTGACTTAGCCATTCTAAAATATTAACTCTCTTCTGCTTTAACCATTCATCGGTTGTACGATTTGTGTGTTTTGGGTTGTTGTCTTGCTCCGTGACCCACTTTCACTTGAGCTTCAGTTCATGGACAGATACCCTGACATTTTCTGTCGAATTTGCTGGTACAATTCAGAATTCATAGTTCCATTAATGATGGCAAGCTGTCCTGGTCCAAAGGCAGCAGAGCAGGCCCAAACCATGATACTGCCACCATCATGTTTGACAGATGGGATAAGATTCTTATGCTGGAATGCAGTGTTTGCTTTTCACCAAACATAATGCTTTTCATTCACCCAAAAAAGTTCTATTTTGGTCTCATCTGCCCACAGAACATTCTTCCAATAGCCTTCTGGCTTATCCACATGATCTTTCACAAACTGTAGATGGGCAGCAGTGTTCTTTTTGGAGAGTAGTGGCTTTCTCCTTGCAACCTAGTCATGTACATCATTGTTGTTCACTGTTCTCCTGATGGTGGTCTCATGAACACTGATATTTGCCAATGCAGGAGAGGCCTTTAGTTCCTTAGGCATTATCCTGAGGGTCTTTGAGACCTCCCAGTATATTACACATCTTGCTCTTGGTGTAATCTTGGTTGATCAGCCATTCCTGGGAAGGTTATCAGTGGGGTTGAATTGCTTCCATTTGTACACAATCTGCATGACAGTGCACTGGTAGAGTCCAAACTCTTTGGAAATAGTTTTGTAACCTTTTCCAATCTGGTGAGCATCAACAACTGTTTTTCAGAGGTCCTCAGAGATCTCCTTTGTTTGAGCCATGACACACTTCCACATATCTGTGCTGTGAAGATCAGAGCTTGATAGTGAATATCCAGAATTCTGCTCTTTAAATAAGGCACACTCACATCTTTTTATCATCCCCCACTCACATCTTTTTATCATCCCATTGTTTGAAGCACCTGACTCTAAATTCTCCTTCAAATGAAATGATAATCCTAGAGATTCACATACTTTTGCCACACACAAATATGTAGGTTTGGATCATTTTCTTCAATAAATAAATGAACAATTATAATGTTTTTGACTAGTTGTTTAATTGGGTTCTCTTTATCTAGTTTTAGGACTTGTGTGGAGAACAGATCACATTTTAGGTCATATTTATGCAGAAATATTGAAAATTCAAAAGGGTTCACAAATTTTTAAGCGCCGTTGTAGTTGTCTCTGAAACGACAACACAGAACAAGGTTGCTGCACTGGTGATAGTATCTTTGTACATTTGGTATAGCTGGAAAAGGGAATAATTTGAGATGTTTGAATTATTCCTCTAAGAAACCTTTTAGTTAGTGATGCTTTTCTCCTTAAAAAGAAATATATATGATGCTATAGGCCAAACAAAAGGTTGAATATATAAGGCAGCTAGAACAACAGTTCAATTTCAGAGTTCAGATTTTACTCATACTTAACTGGTATAATTATAGTATATGTATCCCTCCAGAGACAGCTAGGGCACCCACTCTCTTAGGGTTCTAGAAAGCTCTTAAGATCTGGCTCTATTTCCAGGCCTGGGGTTAATATGTTAGTGGAGCTCCTCTCATGTTTTTTGACTGTTGTGGATGTTTTGTCCAGGTTGTGACTATGTTTTTAATTGTTTTAAATTGTATATTGGAAGTTATAAGCCGCCCAGAGTCTTTTGGAGTGGGCCGGCTATAATAAATCTGAATAATAATAATAACAACAGCAGCAACAACAACAACGATAATACAAATACCAATAATAAGCTAATATCTCCAAATCTCATGCACAAAAGAATAGTAGAATTAGAGTAAGCTCATAGTATTTCAGAAGGATAATAAATGTTTAGGGGAAAAAATAACAATCAATGGTAACATCTCTCTCCTCCCTCCCTAACACGCTGTGGAAACTAAGTATACCTAGTAACTATAGGATGCTAGTTGATAGTTTGGGGAGCAAAGGGGGAAAAGGGGCATGGAAACTAAATGTAATTGAATATCTGGAAAGAGAGCACAGTTCTGCCTATCAAATCTTGGCCAGGAGCACTCCAGTACAGTATTTTTTGGCAGATTTCTTTTGTTGCTAGTTGGCAACTATCACAATAGAGCCATCTAGTCAAATGTCAGAGAACTGTACAATGTATCAATTAAGTTAATGTTGAAAAACAGCAAATATTCTATTTCATTTATTGTTTAGAGGGAGATGAAGAAGATGAAGCTAATAAAATTGAAGCTTTACACAAGAGAAGGAATCTTTTGGCTGCCTTTAGCAAGCTTATAATTTATGATATTGTAGACATGCATGCTGCAGCCGATATCTTCAAGCATTATATGAAGGTATGAGTCTGTGCTGTGTTACTTTGTCCTAGTAACATCAAATCTGTTAAAATATATGGATTGTTTCCATTTTAGTGAAAAGTCAAACATACATTTTTTTTAATGATCCCTCATTCACTTAAGCCTCCTAAGAGTTGAAGTGATCCTCTAGAACCAAATAAGATAAAGTATTCAGGGCTGCACTAAGTAGGAGGGAATCACTGAAAAGTTGCCAAAGTGAAACTCTCATTATAAATACAAGTCTATAATTTTGACTTTCTTCCAGTGCATAACGTTTTTCCTTATTAAATGTTCTTGAGTACTTTATCCAAAATATTTATGATTGAATTCTGCAAGTCCTTTTATAATACTGCAAATGAAAAGTATTAATTTATGGTGTGAGTTTTTATTTTTGTGTAGGGTTGAAAGAGAGTGACTGGTCCAAAGTCACCCAGCTGGCTTTGTGCCTAAGGTGGTTTCAAGCCTGGGGCCTTAATCACTACACCAAACTGGCTATACTGCTTTATGTTAGTGATCATTATTTTTTTGACACTGGAATTCCACCATACTATTTCTGCATGGCAGTTATCCTGGCCGTTATCTTTGGGTTGGGTCCTGAGTCTTTGTGTGGAAGTAGAATGTAGTAGAGGTTTTTCTATACACAAAATCTTCCCCTTATGTACAAAGAGAAAATAAGTTGGCAGTGTAAAACTATTGAGCTTAACACTATTTGAAATTAACATTTATTAATTAAAGCTAGTGCAGGAGGGATGACTTATTAGAAAAGACAATCTAAAACCCCAAATGAGAGGTTGATTAAAAAAAGATAGTCAATAAAATTAAATGCATTGCTAACTAAAATGTACTTTTTTCTTCCTTTTAGTATTACAATGACTATGGTGATATCATTAAGGAGACATTGAGTAAAACAAGACAAATAGATAAAATTCAGTGTGCAAAAACTCTCATTCTCAGCTTACAGCAGGTAAAAATCTTTAGCCCCATTACTTCTTAAATATGTCTTATATACAAATAACTTTCTTCATATACTTGAGTGTTCTGTTGCTAACATGTGACCATACAATAGAGATTGATATGAATATTTATGAGCTATCACAGAATTTCTGATTAGGATAATTTGGAACAGTTAAAAAATTGTCATCTGTGATCAGTTCAGGACTACATCATAAAATTATTTTATTTATTTGTTAATTTATAGCCCAACTTTCTTATAGTTGCTCAAGGCAACTTTCTCCTATTTTGGTCCATAACAACCATCCTGTGAAGTAGGCTGGGCTAAGAGTGACTCGCCCAGTATCACCCAGAGCTAGACTATAACCTGGGTCTCCCTGATGCTAGTCCAGTGTCTTAACCACTACACCCTACTTGTTTTGAATACATTAATTTAATTAAGTATTGATTAATTTTGATAAAATGGATGTGAACAAAAAGGCTGTACAATTCACTACAGTTCATACAATACAGTTAAAGCAGAAAAACAGTGTGCTCCATACTACTATCTACAGTATGCATTTTTAGAATTGAATTTCAATAATTGCACAGTATTATACTTGGGCCAGCATTATGAGTTAACAACTTGTTGCATTGGAAGCTTAGATGGAGATCCCCAAACTCTTCTCTTTTTTGAAGTTGGAAAGAAGATTGAGAAAGAAGATGATATTACAAGTAGAGTTACTACTATTCTTTTTTCATATAAAGGAGAAGGGCAAGGAGGGGAGATTTCTGTAACTGTTACTTGGTAGAATGACAGAATCCCATTGCTGAATATTAGTTGAATCAGAGAAAAAAGGAGGAGAGGCTGCTATAGTAAAACAAAGGCAATCAAAGTCTTTTAATAAGCATTTACGAATGTCTTCCTCCCTTTTTTACAAAGGATGTTGAGAGAATACTTTTGGTTCTGAATGCCAGCTAACTAAGAGAAATCTAAAAATCACAGTTTTTGCTATGACTAGCTAGTGCAATCAAAAATTATAATGGCCTGTCCAACATATAATCTCCATATAGAAAGGGCAGACTATACATAGACATGGTAAGTCTGTCAGATAGTTTACATCATTCGTTTCTTTTCTAAGATCTGTGGAAAACACAGCTCTAAGCCCTAAATATTGATATAGAATGTGCCACTATATTTGTAAAGATTTGAACTATTCAGTTCTTTCTGCAGCTGTTTAATGAGCTTGTTCAAGAGCAAGGTCCTAACTTGGACAGGACATCTGCCCATGTCAGTGGTATTAAGGAGCTGGCCCGGCGTTTTGCTCTTACCTTTGGTCTGGACCAGATAAAGACAAGAGAAGCCGTAGCCACCTTACACAAGTGAGTGGCAAGGAATGCATTGAAGTCAAAAATATATTTGAACCCTTTTTTTAGATAGGGTATCAATATGTGCAGTAACAGTATACACTGTTTTGTTGAGTGTGTGTGTGTGTGTGTGTGAGAGAGAGAGAGAGAGAGAAATTCATTGATGTTAGAGGAGAATAATTAGGCTGTTGTAATAAATAAATATTTTTAAAAGTTGATTGTTACATATTACAGATAGTCCCCAGTTTAAGAATGCGTTCCATTCCCAAGGTCTGTCCTTAAGTTGAATTTGGATGTAAGCTGGAGCCGTATTATGGTACAACACTATATAAGTAGTATTGTGTAATGAACCAATGTGTATTTAACTTGAATTTTGCTACAATAGGCTCCATTCTTAACTATGGGTTGTCTGTAACCCGGGCATTCTTAACCTGGGGACTACCTGTAGTCACATTTTCTAAACAACACATTTTCTATACGTGTGTATTGTATTACATTTGTTCTAAGCCATTTGAAAAGATATGATTGCAATCATAAATAGCAACACTGCATGTTATTTACCACTAGATGTATGACCTCTAACGTAGGTAATCAATGCTTTAAAATTGTTTTAATATATAAAAAGAGAGAAGTCGTAAAAGAAAATGTTAAAAAGAAGAAAAAAACCAAAACCAAATAGAAAAAAGGATACAATATTTAAACATGTGATTAAAACTTTATTACAAAAAATAATATTGAACAGTCTGTCCATTATATCTATGGAGAACCAGTTCACAAAGAGAAAACTAGCACAGATACTTGATCCAGGATTGTAAATCTGCAGTCACATCATCTTTCTAATATTGAAGATAACCTTTTTTTTTTTTTTTTTTGCTGACAAATCCATAATTCTTCATATAGTAAAATCTGATTTTTTGGTATATAATTCAAAAGTCCATTCAGATCTTGAAACTCTACTGATCTTTGTAATAGCATGTTAACAAACTTAAGGGTATTAAATTAAAATGGGGCAATAGTGGGATAAGTATTTATTATGAATAAGGGTCCTCTCGTTCATTTAACATTGGCACCATGGTAAGGTTGACATCTGACCCTTTTTTGACATTCTTGGGGTATCCATTAAATATGAAAGATATTCTTTTGTGGAATTAATCTCATTTTAAGATCACAAAACCTAATTAATATTTTTCAAGTCTCTTAACTATTGATTTGTTAATATAGGATATTTCAATTCTTTATTCCAGAGTTCTTGCAAACAATGAATATCTACTTTAGCAATACTTTTTAATTGTTTGTTTTAAAAATATTGTGGGTTTCGAATAATCCAGAATGCAGACCAATAGTGACAATACTTCAGGAATATTAGACACCTCTAATGCACCTGGCTAAAATTGTGAGATCAAGATATGTTTTAAGTGAATATACTGCCATTCTGCAATTTTAGCCATCCAAATCCATCTTGTAATAACTCAATTCATTAAAGTCTTGATCAGCTGATTAACTGATCTAAAGTATTAGAACTTCTACATGGCCATGATTTTTTCAAAAAGTACATGCAGTTTTCAAGCTGGGATTGTCCTAGAGTCTAAGTTAGTATTTTGAATAAAGGTTAGAATTATACTTCCATCCCATCATCATCTAAGTGTGCCTTGCAGCCTTTAATACAAGAAATAGAATAGAGGTATTGCTAAAGATGGAGGCAAGCTCTTGCCATGATATCAGAGGGTTAGAATTTGTCCATAATAATTTTCTGATTGTGTCCACAGTACTTTATTTACCTGTTCTCTTGCATTCTCAATGCAAGATGATGCCCAATATATGCCTAATGATAAAGTTGGAAGTCAGGTTAATGCTTCCATCCTACATGATAACTATAATTTAAGGAAAATCTAGTGGATTCTCCTTCTCACAAAACATTTCTTAATATCAATCTGTTTGATAACTTATTTAAAAGTATTTGTATAGGAATACCTCTAAGTAAACACATTGGCCTTCATTATAGAAATGTCACATTTTTAATGTTTCAAGTGTATGTCAGGCCTTGAACCTTATTAGGAATTGTGCTATTGCAATAATTGATGATAAAACACAAATAATAAATATAAAACAAAAAAATCCATTTCTTTATTAGACAGTATTTATAATCTGCCCCAATTCCAAAAGACTCTGGTCAGCTAACAAGAAATTAAAATTAAAACCAAAACAGGAATGATATAAGCAAAAACCAAAATAATACAACAATGGTGTCTGTGATGATCATGCATAATCATCCAGAGCTGAAGGTATTTTGAAACAATACTGATTTCAGTTGTTTTCGAAAACTAAACAATGTTTCAGCTGCATGAACCTCTGGCAAAAGGATGTTCCACAGAGCGGGGATGACTATCATCTAATCTATCGTCTAGTCCACACTAGAAAGGAAAAAGTCTATCATCTAGTCCACACTCTCAATGATACAATTTGGTGGAAGGTGTTTTGCACATTTAATATAAAATGAGCGGCTAGGAGTGTAGTATTGTCCCAATCTAGAATACTCTTCTGCCTTAAAAAGGTTTGTACATTTTATTCAGAATACTGTGGTAAGACTGGTTGATATGTATGATTTGGAATGTCTCTCTTGAATCTGAGGGATTGAATATGCAGGCACAATGTACTGAATCGTCCTGTCTTGTTCACCTGGTATTTTACTTCAAGTTTGTATAGAGTTTATAACATTTGACACAAGTACTTACCTCTTGGGTATCTTATTACAGAGATGGCATAGAATTTGCATTTAAATATCAAAATCAAAAAGGACAGGAATATCCACCTCCTAACCTTGCTTTCCTGGAAGTACTTAGCGAATTTTCTTCTAAATTGTTACGACAGGACAAGAAAACTGTGTAAGTAATATGAAATTTTGCTGAGAGTAAGCAACTTTGTTGATAAGTGATACGTGAAGTAAAGGGTCTGTTTTAACTGTATATTTAATTACAATTTCTATAAATTTATTTAGGAAAGTTCTGGCATCGAAAATTGACTTATGTTGAAATTACTCTGATATTCTGAGTGCAAATCTCAGTGTTTGTTTTACCATACCCTAACCCCCAATTTTCATTCTCAAAACATTTGATATATATGATATCTTTTGCTTCTAGAGAGGAGCCAGTCTTTATTGTAGTCTACCATGTACATCCAGGCAGGAACCATTAACATTTCTGAGTTAGATATTTGTAATGTGGAAGTAGAATCAAACTGAGTTAATCTACAGGTGAGATTGCATCTTTCAGCAGTATCTGTTCCTCACTGCAGCAATCATATTCTCAGTGTAGAGGAGGAGAAGAATTTAAGCTTTGCAGAGTTGGGTTGTAGAGAAGGGGGAAAAGATAAGGCATTGTATGAATAGACTGCTTCAGCCTTCCTTCAAGCTTTTGGTTTGAATCCATATGCTATTTTACTTAGCTTCCTTGACCAAACTGAGAAAGCTAGTCTGTTTCTGCATAATATTGTGCATAATATTTTATTTAGTCCACCATCATCCTAAGACGTCTCAGTAGTATGCAGGAGGCATAAAATAGGCATCAATTTTAAAACTGGAAACATAAGTTCAAACAAAATAAAGCATAAAAACATCAGAACTGGTTAAATAAATTTTAACTTGTGGAAATTTTAAAAGGTTTATCCTAGCACTGAAATTATTGCATCAGAATCAAATATTCAACATAGAGGGCATTTGAGAGATAGCACACTACCACTGAGAAGAATCCTCTTCACGGCAAGCTTCCATTGGCAAGAGAAAAGCCTTTTGCTGAAGTTCTTATGACATGAGCTCATTAATATATGGAAAAAATGCCTCCTTTTCCCCTCCATTACTATGTCCTTTTATATTATCAAATTTTACATTTACAATGTTATACATTGCCTATTATTATAATTTCTCCAGAAGTATGGGAAAGGAAAGAGTGGATATACAAAGTTACTCTCTACTCATTGCTTAGAAGAGAGTGGCAAAACGTACTTTCCAAAGAGTTATTCATGTTAGTCTTTATCTGTCTATTCTATTTTTACCAATTCACTTTTTATTCTGTTTGTGAATTATTTTTAATATTTAATTCACTTGATAAGAAGTATTAGTCATACAAATGCAAAAATATAAATGTGTGCCTTGAAAACAGATGTAAGTTTGCTGCAATTTATGTTTCATTCCCTCCCCTTCCCAGAAAAAAATAGAAATATAGGCAATATTCATCTTTATACCACTATTTACTGATCTAAATTCACTTTATGTTTGAGAGCATACAGTGCAATATGTGTGATGTTATTTTCTCATACAGTTATTGTGTTTGTTATATTTTTATTAATTTTAAAAGTATAATGGAATCTGAGGAAAAGCTAAAAAACAACAACACCCCAAGGTGTATTTCATGAAAGTTTTGACATGATCTTTTCAGTCACATTTTCTGACTCATTTAATTTATTTCAATTTCTTGAGGGAAAAAAAGACCTGGGGGACTTTCAAAAAAATTCTGAGTTCACATCTGTAGTCTTGAAACTGTAATGGAAGGCTTGAGTGAGGAAGATACTAGAATGGAGGATCAAGGTTATGAGGAGGGAGGGGGAACATTTCAGAGCAAGCGCTTTCTCAGTCCGCAGCAAGACCATGGGAAGAGAAAGAGGATGAGGCCAGCCCCTCCCTAGAGTCTCACGGGGTATATCCACTAGTTGCTTTAGAATAGGTTTAGTCTGGCGAGATTCTGTCTATTAAGTGCAAACTAATAAAGGAACTGGACTGGACTGGATTGCCTCATTGTTGTTCTTGGGCTGAACCTGACAGAAACGGAGTCATTTGCGTTTTTGTTCTCAAGAATTTAAAGAGTATTCTTCTGGAATGCACCTTTTAATACTTATATGTCCAGTTAAGTTTTTTATTCCTTGATAATTTATATCATTTAATGCTGTTATTCAGTCAATTCTTATGTAAATTAATATGTTTTATAAGCTGCGAATGTATTAGAAACCCTTCTTTTTCTTGCATTTACCTAACTAGCTTATAATGCTTACAAGAAGTGTTCATTCTTTGCTTATTTTCCTTATTTAAAAGTAGCTCTGAAAACAAATGCCATATATGTAGTATCTGATGAATGTATTTTTATCCACAAATAATTGAGTTATATTGCTAGCCCTCCAGAAAATCAGGGCAGATCTAACTCTTAAATCAGGAGTATAGAATATAGATAATCCTGATGCAAGGAACTAATGAGTAATGAAAATAGAAGCTATATTGTAGTTGTAGAAAGCTATTTTAGTCATTTGTTTATCTGTACTTTTCTCTCTTTTTCTTCTCCAACCCAGTCACACCTATTTGGAGAAATTCCTAACAGAACAAATGATGGAAAGGAGGGAAGATGTATGGCTTCCACTGATTTCCTATAGAAATTCATTAGTTACAGGTGGTGAAGACGATAGGATGTCTGTGAATAGTGGAAGCAGCAGTAGCAAAACATCTTCAGTTAGAAATAAGAAAGGTCGACCTCCACTTCATAAGAAAAGAGTTGAAGGTAAATATGGCTTCAAAGGTCATGTATTATTCTGTGGTCAGACTTAACGGTAAATAAAAATGTGACTTATTCATGAGTTTATTCAAATAGGTTTCAGGAAATTAAGCTAACATCTCTTTTCAAACCAGAATCTTTTAACAACAGAGTGAAATATAATTTCATTAACCCATTCCTCAGACAGAAATAGGTAAAGCAATAAAGTTTGTAGCCTGAAGAGTCCTTTGCACTTAAATTAGGCAAAAGAAGATACATTAGGATATGGCCTTTCAGCATAAGCGGTGTGATGTAGAATACAGAAAAGGAGTAAGAAGTCAATGAAATTAAGATTGGAAAAGGAAAAAAAAAACCTAAGTAAAACTAATTTACACCAGTAACATTTACTCTTCATTCTTTTCTAGCCTTGAAAACCTTTGTTTCTACCACATGCATACGTAGACTCCTATATTGCTTTCTATTCTTAAAACTTTTCACTTCTTTCTCTTTGAGAATCTTATCAATTCTATCCAAACTTGCCTGGAATTTTTGGATTTCCCAATTTGATCTTCATTCATTCACCGCATGTAACCAAATTATCTCAGCATACTTCTTTCACTCACTTTTTATTCAATCCACATTCATTTATCACCCGAATATTTTTGATCTTATCTCTTCTTGACCTCACACACTTCTTAAGTAACCCATTGCTACTGCAGTTATTTTCCTCCCATCATACCAATGCTTGTTTCACTATTTCAAGGTAGGTAGATATATGCTTTTTTATCCAGCCATTTTTGCTTCTTTCAACAAATGTTTATTCTTTACAGTAGAGTAATATTACCTACTATCATTTTCACAGCACTGCATATCTTAAAATTTCTGCATACATTTTCCCATACTTAATAAAAATTCTACTAAGGTACACAAATTAATCTACTTACTCCAATGATTCACCCTCTAGGTATAATGTGTTTTAACATTCAGTGCAAATCATTCAGGTAACAAGACAGCATCATCTGCATACAGAAATGCATAATATTCTCTAATATTCCACCAAGGACCCTACTTCCCTTAAGCGTAACTCCACATACTTCTGTAGCACTCTGTAACATCCTTCTTTTCATTCTGTCCAAGCAGCTTCCACTTCCTCTTTCCTTACATTAACTCTCCACTCATTTTCTTAGGAGATTATTTTCTAGTTCTTTTTCATTAAGGATTTATATTGCTGTTCCTGCAAATCATTCTCCTCTCCTTCTGTTTCTTTCACTTCATTCCTTTTCTTCTATGTCCATTTTTTCCCAAGATCTACCCTTGAACTACCAAAAAGTAGTCTGTCCCACTTTCAGAACCTGCCATCATCCTTGTACATTTCAATTATTCTCTCTTTCATCATAAACAATTAAATCAATAATGATTTTAGATTGATTCTTTTACCACATGTATATACAAATAACTTATTAATTATGTTTAAACCAGCAGTTCCCAGACTGGGTACCGCAGGGCACTGCAGTGAATTCACAGGTGCCCCAGGATATTTTACTACTTAATAAATGGAACCATTAGTGAGTGGGCTGAGGCACCCCAGGGAAGTGCAGTGCACAGTTTGGGAACAGCTAGGGGTGCTATGAACCAAGAAAGTTTGGGAACCTCTAGTTTAAACTAAGTTTTTAAAACAAAAACCTAGATCTTTTTCTAAGCCAATGCTTAATAGGCACCATTCATTTTCACTTTTTTTTTTAACTCTCTCATCTCATTCCCACCCATTCTTTCATGTCACCTAATCGAATCTTTTAATCCCTTGAATAGATCACCAGGAGACAATACATGGCTAGGTTCATCCTTGTTGGGACTCGTCAGACATACATAGCCAGATCTTATTCTCTGGGGTTCAAACCCTCTACCAGGAATTGAACTCATAGACCGCTGCATTTTAGATGACTATATACAGTACATTAGCTATAGTAGCTATCAGGTCCTACCATTCAATACTGTTGCAGGAAGGGATATATAGAATTTATCAGAATGGTATATATAGTCCACCCTCCCTTGAGCTCTCAGAGGGAGATATCAGATGTTACATTAAATTATGCCCCCATGTATGAGGTTTCACATGACTTCCATCAACCCTCTTGTGGGGGAGAGGGGATTCTCTATTTTAACAGTGTATATTTTGTGTGGTATTTTTACTTATATAGACCACCAGGAGGCGGTACATGATCAGCTTCATCCTTATTGGGACTTGTCAGACCTGTGTAGCTTGATCTTATTCTGTGGAGTTGAAACTCTCTACCAGAATTGAACTCATGGACCACTGCACTTTAGATGACTATATACAGTGCATTAGCTTTAGGAGCTATCCTCTGAATGGCATTTATTGAGAATATTGCACAATTTCCCCCCCAAATTTTCTCTGATTCTTTCATTAACACCATTCACTAGAGTGTAATGTACAGCTATTGCTAACTTATACAGTATATTCTTACTTTCATACACCCCCGCAGCAACCTAGGTGACAGTTCATAGTTGATGACATGACATAGAGCTAAAATATATTTTATAGCTAAACTTATATCTACCCTGCATTTATTAATCAGCTTCATTTCTGGAATCAGACCACCTTCAGCAATCTATTACATCCTTTCCCTCCCACTTAGTTTAACAATCAACATTTCTACTTTTCTTTCTTCCTGTTCATTCATTCATGTATGCGTACATTTTACCATTTGTTCCTCTTACATTCCAAGTTGCAATCTTCCATATGCTGTGGTTGTTATTAGACGAGTCCCTAGTTATTGAGCCCCACTACCTATCCTCTTAAAGTTTTCACTTGTTCTTTTTTTTTTTTTTTGGTCAGAGAAGATCTAGACTAGGTTAGCATCTGGTTAGCATATTTAGTTACATCCATGCCATGTGTAGCATTCACTGCTAACAGTAAGGGCAGTGCCATTTAGAAGAAAGTTTTTATAGAAATTATAGTTGGCTTGAATTTCATTTGAAGTTGTTCTTTCACATTGCATAGATACACATGCTGCAATATTTATATACATTGTTTCTAATTGTTTGCATTTCGTCAGCAGAATTATTATCTGTTGTTTTGCAAATTGTTTGCATTTCGTCAGCAGAATCAACATTTATTTTAGTTTTTATGCATTTATTCTTATTTTATCAGTATAAGGATTTACAGACCATAGTTTCAGAACTAGTCAAGCAGTGTCAGAGGAGTCAATCCTGTGGGTAGACAAATTAAGGCAGGTTTTAGTCTCAATTTAAATATTTTCCACTTCACAGCAGAGAACAGGTTGGGCATGCTGCGTGGTACTTGAAAGATACTTCGCAACATTTAGATTCCACGGTCTCTACCTTGCAATAATTATCATAGGGGCCAAACTGAGTGCCATACAGAAGTTGAGAACATGTATTAGTGGTAAATAGCTTTAAAACTGCAGTAATGAATAGAGTATATCTGGCTTGGTGAAAGATTCCAGTAGCTGAAGCTGAGTTCTGGGAATTCTGAGCTACATAGTTTGAATGAGCAGTTCTCCCAACTGAGGCCTGGAAAATGATTCTGAGGCATTTAAATACAGTGGTACCTCGGGATACGAACTTAATCCGTTCCGTGACTCTGGTTGCAACT